CAATAAAAAAAAAAATGTTTTAAGAAGAATATAATATGAATATTAAATATAAAAACAAATGAAATATTTATCATAAATCCCTATCATTAAAAAAGTAATAAATTAACCCTAATTTGTCGCTACTACTATTAATATATAGGTTGCATTATTCTATACTTTTGGGAAAATTATAAGGAGAGAAAAAAATTAGGTTGCATTATTTTTTTGTCGTTACATCATTTAGATCTTTTCCTTACCTCATTAGATTATTGAGTCTTATTATTCTTCTTGCTTTAAATAAAAAAATAAGTACGGTCAACTTTTTTTTTTTTAAGAAAAAAATAATAAAATTTATATAAATCAATTGCGCCACGTGATTTTGTCACCATCCAATTTTAATTTTAATAAAATATTAAAATTTGAAATGTTTTGACTGATTTGCCGCCGTAACAATTTCTCTTATCACTTCACGCGTTCATTTAATTAATTTTTAGAAATATAATTTCATTTTATTTGAAAAAAGATATTTATTATATGGCATAGTTTTATTTTAATAATTTTTAATAGAATTCTGTTTTTCAATTTGTTTTCTTATCTCGATAAGCATCACGCAGCTGTCTCCTTGCAGTAAAATTTATTATTATTTTAAAATTAAAATATTACTAACATTTTACTATTGTTTTTATTTAATTCATAAAAACATATTTATTGTCTCTGGGGTTTTAATTGTGGGAAGGTTCACAATCCTTAGACCTTTGCTCTGCATATTCCAAATCTCTCTTCCCCTATCAAACATACGAGAGATTATTACGTACAATCACAGGATCGTTCACAGGCCAGGCCAATCAGGACGCGTCATGTCAATATTCAATACTCAACGATACACAATAATGATACACACCATATTGATGACGTGACGCCTCTTGATTGACCTCCGGACGATGTCTTGTAACCGTACGTAATAATTTTTCCAAACATAGGACATGATCATATGTTTTATATATACCTAGAAGATGACCTTCTTCCTTTGATGTTGTTGCGCGCCATTTACTCTCCCTCCTATGTTAAACCTTTGTCATACGTGCAAAAGTGGGCAGTTACATATACAAAAAGTTCAGTGGATCAATATGAATTTTAAGATTATATTCGAATTAGAAATTTACCTAAATTAAATTCAAGATCATTTGAATTATGTTTTCAACAAACTTATAGACACATGAACGCATCAATAATACAAACTCATCGACATCACAAATGATCTGATATGAGTGCAAATGAATCAAAATCAAGAACTTGAAATATACTTAAACTTTTTAAAATATCAATTGAGATATCAATCGATCTTCGAATCTTATGTGCTTTTAGTCAGATTGAGTGGCTTAACGAGACTAATCTTACGATTCTAAGATCACTCAATTCTGACATCATTAAGACGCTCAGTTATTGGATAAACAACCTATGAATAAGGAGATAATATGGAATGTTCAATAGAGTGTTTTGAATTATGACCAAATTTACAAAAATGTTCCCGCAAAAAAAAACTCCATAAATATGACTCAATTTTCAGCATGAAAGAAATTCAAAGGTTGATAGAGTTATGTAATTATATTGCATTTTCTAGCCGTTATCACCACAACCACCATCATCATTTGGCATAATCAAAGTCAAACTTTCGTCTCTTGATTGTTTTCACTTGACTATTAATATATAACTTTAGTGTTGAGTTTTAAATTATGTACTTATGGACACCCAATTTCTGTATTCCATACAACGAGAATCAGACGATTATTCTCAATTGCGTATAACCTCTTCTTCGATTACAAGGAAAGGAGGATTCTTACATGTTTTATTATTTGGTGGATTCATTTAAAGGCCATGCTCCGTAGTATTGTATTTTTGAATTTTTCACTCAAGAAATTGTAGTATCTTGCAACTTTTATCTTTGTATGTTAAAGTTTTGTATAAAATTAAGGCATAAAACACATATTTTACTGCCATAAATTTTCTTCTATATAACATAATATATATCAATAATTCATGGTTGTTTGATAATTTTAATAGTAAAAAATTAAATTTTGACACTTCCCAATAACAAAAAACATATTATATGCAACCAATTTAAAAAAAAAATTCTAGCTTCACTACTATCGAACTTTATATTTTCCAATATCATAACATCTAGACCTTAACTATCTATAAATCTAAGGCTTCGTTTCGGGTGACTTTCGTACCACTTTCTAAAACAGCTGTCTAGTATAAAATTTTCTAATTTAAGAAATTAGCTGTCCCAAATGAAGCCCAAGTCTGAGAACAATTCAATTTCGAGAGGAACCAATATCAAATTTTATATAAATCAATAACGAGTCCACAAAATATCCACTAAGGGCTTGTTTCAGGCAGCTTTTTTGTTGCTTTACTTTTCAGACAACAATCATAATTTTATTTGGCAACTACTTTATTGCTACTTTCAGACAGCTTTTCAAAAATCCCTACGACAAAAAATTATTTTTACAATTATAATTTTATAATCAACTTTATAAAATACTTCAACCTCCGCTCTAAGGAACCCCAATGACAATCAAATAGCCAAAGAAGCCAATAACTTTTCCGCTTTCCCACTCACAAAAGAAACGCGCAAACTCTCTTAGGTTTGCAAAATCGTGACGGATCAAATGAAATTATTGCCTTCCAAAAGCAAAGTTTCAAACTTTATAAAGCCATCTTTATCATTATTCTCTCCAACTCCACATCACGATTGAGTAAGCCGTCCTATTTTCCACATAATACTTTTTTATACTGACAAGAAATTCACACCTACAGCTGAGGGCTATTTTGGTCATTAGGATTGAATTTTTTTGTTCTTCTGGACTCGTTCAACGGCTTAAAATTCAAATGGTCCAATTGCAATCATATCACAACGTGCTTGGAATTTAAACTATGATATTTACATAAAAGAAATTAGAAATAATCGATTTATTTACTGTAAAAATATGATAATAAGGTGAAATATTATGATATTTATGCATGATTAATAAAATTAGCATTATAAAATTTATTTCTGCTATTTTCTTTAATTTTTTTAATAGAAATTATATTAAGAATATATGTTTCTTATTTTGATTGGTTTCTGGTGAACTTATTAGATAGCTTTTTTTTTTGAAGACCCGGTCAATGGGACTAAAAGTAGGATTCAAATGAAAGGAAAAATTATATTTGACTTCATAATTGATCAAATATATCTAATATTTAATACTTCTAGTAGACTTAGGTTTCGTTTGGGACAATTTTTTTACTATTTTTTAAAACAATTTTTTAATATAAATTTTTAATTTTTGCACTAAAAAGTGACTTTAAGAAACGGTAAGAAAGCCGTCCAAACGAAGCCTTCTTAATCTCATTTTTGCTAGCCAACCTCCTACTTTTAAGGAGTTTGATTGAGAAAAATTCATGTATATGCTAAACAATGTAGGTGAATAATTAATAACATATAATTATCTCTCTCGACTTCTGCATTACAATCTATCTTGCATCATTATTATCACATCAACACATGTCATAACTCCGCTTATTTTACAGTCATCTCCCACAAAATCTACACATTATTATTTCGTCATAATTGTCCCCCTCAAGACTTAGCCGAAATCACACTTACATCATAGATGCCTCCCTTAAAATCCATGTCAAAATCTGGCATGCACCGTAACCATCATCATATCAAGGCCAACATTATAAACTCACTTCTATCACAAACATCTAAATAAAGACCTACGATGCAGTCTCGCTTGAGCCTTAATAATCATTTTTACAACAAAACTTACTAAGGGCATCCCTTTCAAGACCTACACATAACCCTATTTTTTTTCCCCAACAGTTCATCTCTTAAGACGTGTGTGGCAACCACATTTGAACTGTAATTATCATTGCATTAAAATAAGCCCCCACGCACCGTAAGCATCACCACATCAAGGCCAACATTATAAACTCACCTCTATCACAAACATCTAAATTAAGACCTACGATGCAGTCTCGCTTGAGCCTTAATAATCATTACATCAAAATTTGCTCAAGGCATCCCTTTCAAAACCTACGCTTAACCTTATTTTTTCCTCAATAGTTCCTCTCTTAAGACGTGCGTAACAACCTCACATGAACTGTAATGATCATTGTATTAAGATATGCCCCACAATCTGACTTGTGCCGCAACAATCCACTTTAAGACCAATATTGTAGCTATCTTATCACAAGGCTTATGCAATGATCTCCAATGATACGTAAGTAATAGCCATCTATAATTAGTCTTAGAACATGATCATCTTCAACCAATATTATAATATATCATACTACAATTAACATAGCAATACAGAAATTAAAATTTACGTTGAGATAAATCTAATTAAAATTTTAATTTATTATTCATATATTACACTTATCTTAAAATAAATCAAGAATTTTGACCATTTTTTACTATGTTATGATCCAAGTAGAAGTCTTTCATTAGAGTTTTGGACCCACAAAGGCGACAAAGGTAAAAGATTTGCCCAACGACAGCTAATTTCTTGTTACAATACCCAATCATCTCATATAACAGACATGAAGCCAAAGTCAAAATTATCCTTTGACGTAACTTTTTTCCTTGCAGACCATTATGAACAGATCAACCGTTGACCAAGCTAATTGCACCAAATCAAGGGCTCAGATTTCTCTCAAAGCATTCAACTTTGATAAAACCCTAGGTATATAAAGAACTATGGGGGCAGGTAGAGTAGAAGAAGATGATGAGGTTTGCACAGCCAAGCAAAACAACAAAAGAGGCACTTTCTAAGATCTCACAGAAGCAATTAAAATAAAGAGGGGTGAAGAGGAAGAGCACTGACCTGATACTGACGAATTCCAACTTCCATGAAACTCCCAGACCTGCAAAACCAGTCATGTTCTGCTCCATCCAGAAATTCCTTTTCCAACCATCAAAAACACAAAGAAAAGAGACAAAAGACAGCAAGGGAGAAGAAAAGAACAAGGCAGAAGAAAAGCTCTCACCTTGCTTGGGATGCTTGAATGGTCCTTGCCTTGGGCATGAGCACACCAATTCAAAGCACAGAGTTGCCGCCATAAACGTCACGAGCGCCAGAGCTGCCCGTTCTGATTTTGCCAAGTTCACCACTTCTACCCTCTTCTCCAATTCTCATTTCACCAACCATGAATCCATCCCTTCCTTGCTGGATTCCTTCTTCCACTTTGCCGAAGCCTTTCCACTGTATCATGAAACCCAGCTGGCTGATGATATCAGAGAGAGCGAGTACGGCCACCTCGCCGATCATGTATGTCTGGATTATAGTGGAGTTAACCTCTTCTCTCATGCGCAGATGAATCAGTCGATTGCAACGTCGTCTTCCTCCCCTCCGCCGCCGTCAGCCTGGCGGCCTCCATTTTTCAGTATCTCGTATAAGTCTGCAAGCCTCAAATCTGAGGTGAAGTATGGGGAGAAAGATAGCGGCTTTGAATTTGCCATCAGGAAGAGAATTATGAGTTTTCTAAAAATATCAGGGGAAGATTATGGCATAGTTTGTACTGCCAATAGAACAGCTGCTTTCAGGTTGCTGGGAGAAACTTATCCATTCCAATCCAATAAGAGGCTGCTAACAGTTTATGATTATGAAAGCGAAGCAGTGAGTGCAATGGTGGAGAGTGCTGAGAAGAGAGGAGCAAAGGTCATGTCTGCAAGCTTTTCCTGGCCTGGCATGAGGATTCAGACTGCAAAGATGAAGAAGATGTTGAGCAAGAGAAAGAAAGAAAAGAAGAGAGGTTCGCTAGTCTTTCCACACATGTCCAGGATGACTGGAGTAAGGTATCCTTATTTGTGGATGAAACTGGCAAGGGAGAATGGCTGGCATGTAATCCTTGATGCTTGTACATTAGGGCCAAAGGATATGGACACACTGGGAATCACATTGATTCAACCAGACTTCATCATTTGCTCCTTCTTCAAGGTGTTTGGGGAGAACCCAGCTGGGTTCGCAGCTCTGTTCATCAAGAAATCCAGCAAAGAAGTATTACAGACATCCATTTTGGCAAGAAGCATTGGGATGGTAAGCATTGTCAGGGCAGGAAAGCTGTCTGACTTACCCGAGGAGGAGGTGGATACTACAAGTTCTTTTTCTGGTCCGATTCCCTCCAACTCAAAACAGAAGCAATCAGAGATATATGAGGAAGGTGAGACATCTGAGCCTGGTGGACCTCCAGTCAGTACAGAAGCAGAAGAAGAAGATAAAGAACAACAAGAAGCTTATGAAGGTAAAGAAGAGAAAGAAGAAGAGGAGGAAGAGGAGCTGTCATCAGAAATTGTAGAAGTACTGAGAAAGTCTACCAAACACAACAGTGAGGAGATAGAAAACCAAGTGGAGGTTGAATTCAATGGCTTAGATCATGCAGATTCTCTTGGTCTTCGAGTTATACATAACAGACTTAGATGCATAACCAATTGGCTAGTAATTGCACTGACGAAGTTGCAGCATCCTCACTCTGAAAATGGTAATTCATTGGTAAAGATTTACGGGCCACGAGTAAAATTTGACAGAGGACCTGCATTGGCATTCAATGTGTTCGACTGGAAAGGAGAGAAGATTAATCCTGTGCTTGTTCAGAAGCTGGCAGATAGAAGTAACATTTCACTAAGCTGCGGATTCCTTCAAAAAATCGAATTTTTAGAAAAATATGAACATTTGAAGGATACAGTTCTAGAGGAAAGAGTCCTTGAGAACACAATAGTTTCAGATAATAAAAAGAAAGAGGATCATAATCTGGGGATAGCCGTTGTAAATGCTTCATTTGGTTACCTGGCTAATTTTGAAGATGCTTACAGGCTCTGGGCTTTTGTTGCCAAGTTTCTGGATGCTGATTTTGTTGAGAAGGAGAGATGGAGATACGTGGCTCTTAACCAGAAAATGATTGAATTGTAGACTGAGGAATGACCAAGAATCCATTATTTTACTGCTCCTCCTTTTCAAACTTTGCAGATGGGGGACAATATGGGAGCATTCAAATTTCCTATTCATTCATTCTTTGTAAATGATGTGCAATGTTGCAGAAGTCAATTGAACGATTTAAACTTCAATATTTTTTTTTGAAATCATTAAAGATACTAGCTGAGAGTAGTAACAAATGTCAAACAATTTATGTCATGCAATTGTTTCATATATTTTACTTCTTTATTACGGCTTCTTGGACGAGTATTTTTTTATTATAAAGTTGTTTTAAGAAGTAGTAAGAAAGTGGTCTCAAACAAAACCTAAGTCGCTCAAAGTAGCCAAAGTTGACACATTGCTCGACTTGGTTCACCAAGGATGCTTGCCGAAGCATCAAAGAAACTTGTTGGGGCTCGGCAAATCTCAGTGATGTCGTTCAAGGAGCTGTTATCATATCCTGACAGTAATTATAACACACTTGCTTAAGGAAGTGGAGCTCAGACCTTTCTCTGGCAGCCGCAGAAACGGCTCTGCTTTACTTTACACTTTCCGTTATTATTTCTCTATATATAGATAACACTGTTCATAGGAAAGAACAAGTAAATAGAATGCCGAGAGCTCCCTTTCCATTTCTCTGTTTCCTCGATTCTTGCTAACGAGTGTTCTCTTGCAGCTTTCATGGTATCAGAGCCGGTATAAGCCTCACGGCTTGTTGCTTCGTTTCTATCTCCCTAATGGCTTCAGATACATCCTCCACTGCCGAGGCGACTCAGCGCCCAGCTCCTGATCCGCTTACCAACGTTTCTCAGGTGCCTGATGCCGATGCAGCTCTGCTTCTTGGAACAGTAAACATTCCTCCTCAGTTGAAATTCTTAATGTCTACCATTAAGAATGTCATCACTATCCAATTAACCCCAGATAATCATCTCACCTGGAAATCTCAAGTGCTCAAAGTGTTTCGAGCGAACGGCTTTGAAGGGTATCTTGACGGAACCATTGCTCGTCCGTCTCGCCAAATTGTTTCCTCCAGTGGTTCGGTAAGCTCAAATCCATTGTATTCTACGTGGATGTTAATCGATCAAAATTTGGCGGCTGCATTGTTCTCTACCATCTCCGCTTCTCTTCTACCCTATGTTCTTCATCTTGAATCATGTTCAGAGATTTGGTTAACCATTGGAAAAAGGCTACAATCTTCCAATCGGTCTAAAATCCTGCAACTGAAAAATGATCTCAACTTTATTTCCATGGGAAGCAAGACTATGCAGCAATATTTAACTGAGATCAAAATAAAAGTAGATCAACTCACGGCTGCCGGTAGCATCTTACCGTCGGAAGATGTTATTATGTACACTTTAAATGGCTTGCCGGCGTCATATCAAGGTTTCAAGACGGCAATACGCACGAACCTTCAGCCGCTCAATCTAGATGATTTTTATTCCTTACTCTGCAGTGAGGAAACAAACCTTGAGAATGAAGCAGTTCGGGCTCTACAGTCTGTCCAAG